CCCCCGCGAGAAGACTTAGCAGGCAAGGACGACGACTCGGTTCTCCGGATCTCCGAGTACGCTTTGTGGGCCACCTCCTCGGACCCCCGACCTGGGGGCACGGCCCGCAGGCTTCCTGATTTGGGGATGCCATCCGCAAAAAGCCAACGCGCTTAGCCTGAGGATAAAGGACAAGTAGGCGGGGCCGGGGGCGCCGAAGCGCTTTCTCCTTCCTCCAGCGCTCGGGGGAGGACTGGGAGGGGTCTGGTGACACTTCATGGCGGGCACGGTGCAGGCCGCGCGCGGTCCTCAAAGCCTCGCCTGCCGCAGTCCCATCCCCTCCTTCCACCGCCTCCCTTCCAGGTCCGCCCCGAGGCCGGCGAGCAGCCGCGAGGAGGTGACGGCAAAAGGCGGGCCACCGCAGCCTCGTCCTCTCTGCGCCATGATCTCGGGCGCACGAGCCCGGGCCCAGCAACCGCACAGCCGGGCCTTCCACCCGGGCTTTCCTAACTAGGGTAAAGGGCAGCGGAGAGAAGAAAGAGAGGGCCGCGCGTGCTGGGGGGGCCTCCCATTGGCTGCTCTCGTTCCGCCCTCGATTCTGATTGGCCACGGGTCCAGCGCACGGATCGAGCACGTTCCGCCGCACCGCGCGGCGTTCGGCCGGCGACGGTGGCGCAGCCAATGGGAGCAGCCCTCGGGGCGGAGCTGCCCGGGGCTGCCGGCGCTTGTCTCCCAGCGCGCGCGAGTTAGTAAACAGATCCCGGGCGCGCGTGAGGCGCTTGCAGTGCGACGACAAAGCGGAGGCTGCGCGAAGGTGACCGCGGCCCAGCTTCCAGCCCCGGGGTAAGGCTGCCGCCCGCCGCGTGCTCCAGCGCCGTGTGCCTGCGGCCAGAGCTGGGCCGTGACCCGCCCGGGCCGTTCTTGCATCTACCTCAAGTGACCGCGCGGCTTTTCCTTTAGCGGCTTTCACGGGCCGCGAGCTCCGGTTCGCGCCTCGGGATGCAGGGTAGGGGCCCTGTAGATGTCGCCTACCCCGCCGCCTGCCTCAGGGAGGGGACGAGAGCGGCGGCCGGAACCTTGGGCTCCTGGATCGCGCCGTGCAGTCTCCGTGACGGACTGTCGGACGCCGCGTCTCCTCGGCAGCTTTCCTGCCTCGCTTTTCTTGATAAAATTTCTCTTCGCTCCCGGGCCCAGACCCCTTTGTACTGTTCCAGCGGCTCTAACCGGCCCTGGTTGCAGATTTTTGTCAGAATTTTGACTCTCTTGACCCGAGCCAGCTGTTGGGTGTCACAGGTGGGGATTTTGGGGTGACTTTAGGAAAGTGGGCCCTTTTTGGTCCTTTCCTCCGTTCGCTTTTCTTTGGCCCTTCCTCCAGCTTCTCGAAACATTAAGGGTCTTGTGAGTGGTTTGGGTTTAATTGCCTAAACGCGTGCCTTTCCCTAGCCTTTCCGCCCCCTCCGCCATAGCCAGGCCAGTTCTCCCATCTGCTTTGGGAGACGGGCAATGCTGAGGGGCAGGACGGGGGGCAGGGTGAGAGAGGTCAGCTTCCAGAAGGGCGAGAGACGTATGCGCAGCCCCTTGGGAAACTTGTCCACCCACCCTGCTCACTTGGGCCATGGGTGTGCGTGACAGAAGGGCGAAGAGCTGGGCGTGCCAGGCCTACCTTGTGCCAAAGGATTTGAGTATGCATTGATACCAGCCTGCCAGTTGTCATGCTGTTGGATGGGTGGGTCATGCTCGTAGGAGGGACCTTCTGAGAAGAGATGAAGTGGGGAGGGGGGCTGGTGGTTCAAGGGAGCAGCATCTTTAAGACTCTGGCGATGACTCTGGGCATTTTGTTCAGCCTTGCAAATAGTGCAGACGAGGCAGGGTTGTTATAATTTTTGGTGTGACCTCAGGCAACTCAGAGGAAAAGTGAACCAGGTGCTATGAGCACTTGCCTGTGTGTCACCTCCAGATTATCGACAGTTTGGACCAGATCATTCTTTGTTATGTGGAGGGTGAGCTGTGCATTGTAGGGTGTGTAGCAGCATCCCTGGCCGGTATCTATTAGATACTAGTAGTCCCCCCTCACACACACACTAGTTGTAACCAAAATATCTCCTGGAGGACAGAATTGCCCTTAGTTGAGAACCACTGAGGTAAGACTCTAAAAGAGTATCCCCAGGCGTTCCAGAGGCCTCCTGGGACCTGCCCATGAGTAGTTGAGAGGTTTAGAAACAGGGAAATGTTGTGCCCTCTGCCCTAAACTTATGTAGATTGGGTTTTAAAGAAGACCCCGCCTCTGCACCTGGGGGGATAGGTGAGAGTTGGGTGGTAGAAACCCATGGGCTTTTACTGTGCCTGCTGCATGCATGGCAGTGACTGGCTGGGTCAGGAGTGCAAAAGAAGTGGAAGACTGGTGGTTTTATCTTTCAGGATTTTGCAAGATTGTGGGGATATGCATATGAAATAACCAGGGGGCAGTTTTTAAATATTGAACAAATTTAAGCTGTCCAAATGCTGGCAGAAAGGCCAACTCAGTTTTCCACAGGTGGTTTTTCCAAGGTGATGCTTTACTCATCTTCACTTTTTAGGGAGACATCCCTTGTGTCTTGTGATATGGGAGGGGGTCAAGCCTGCATCTGCAGGGAAGAAGTGTCTGGCTGTATTTCAAACATACGTGTGAGTCTATTTACATGTACCATGTTCCTCTCCATGTGACAGGCCACACTGGAGGCAGTGGTGCAGTATGGACACGTATATAATTTATGCAGTTCTTTTGTAGTTGATTGAAGCATCAGTGTCAAAGACAGTGAGCCATTTGTTTTCATGCAGAGGAAGATGCTTTAATTCTGAGTCTAGATTTTGCCTTCAGTATAACCCAGAATTTATGCCCTAAACTGAGTCCTAAATGGATGGGATGCAGAAAAGGTGAAAAACAGTGATTATTGTACAGGGCAGGGAAAAACATCCTAAGTGCCTAACATGAATTTCCCTTTCTTCTTAATTGATCCTGTGGGGATGTATCAGGAGTTTCCCATAACATTCCTTGGTTAGTTAGGGGGTCTTTTGGGTGCCCTTGGTTGCTTGTAGAAAAGAATCTGGACAGGGAGGTCACATCTCCTTTCTCAAAAATAAGTTTAGAGAAGTCTATTATTGGGACGCTCCAAGCTTAGCGGGATAATTTTCCGTCAAGAGCCATGGACACTGAGTCATTATCTTTGTTAGTTGAAACAAGAGCTGTGTGCAAAATTAGACAGGACTTTAGATAGAGAGTTGTCTTGATCTGACAGTGGCATCTGGAAATAGTTCCAGCATTCCTGCTAAATAGCAGCCAGGAAACTTGGAAGAGCCAATGGGAGTGGGGAGTTTGAGATCCTGCTCCTTCTAGAGTTGCACCTAGAGGAGGGGTGGGCTCTGCTGATGCTGAGTGAGATGTATCTGGGTGGGATCTCTCCACACTTTGCAAACCTGAGTGGGTATCCATTGGTCTGTCCTTGAGCATATCGTTTGTTGTGTGAGTACACGCTCCTGAGCCCTTGACCCTTAATTTTGAGGTCAGGATCTCATAGAGTATTGAAGGTTGGAAATGACACTGAAAATCTCTCTCTATTCTTCATACTTGGGTGTGACTTATTTTTAGTGTGTGCATGTGGTGTTTTCACTCAAATTACCATTTCAGGGTATTGTAGACTCTATTGTAGTTGAATAGTGACTGAGTTCTTTTTGTCTTGAGAGCCATCGACTTGCTTTTTAAAAAAATTATTTATTTATACCCTCCTATTCCCACCTGGGCTGGAGGAGAGGGGCAATAGCTAGTCCAAACCTGAAAAATCCCTGTGTGCCCTCAGGGTTGGTGCTCCTCCACATGCTGTCTCTGAAGAAAAGCCCACTCTGAAATTGTGGGTGGATCTGGTTATTTACTCCTCATTGAACAAATATCGATTGATTATCTGCCTAAACATAGCAATGGAATATAAAAGTGAATAATACTTGGGTCCCTGACCTCAGGCAGTTGTAGTAAGTGGTATGCAGATACCACCTAACTGCTCGAAGTGTGGTTTGGACAAGGGACTCTGGGTCGGACCACTTCTAGCTGATGGAAACTGCGAATGCTTCTTGGAGGAGAAGGCTTTTTAGCGGGGCCCCTGAGAATGAACAGGATTTCAGCAGGAAGAGACAGGAGTTTGGGGGATGGGCCAATTTTCCGAGACTCTGTGGTGAAGGAGCAGGTTTTATTTTTCCCCCAATTTGTTGCAGACCAATGCTTTTGCAAGACAGGAAGAACTTCATGGCAATGCTAAATGGCTATAAAAGTTTCTAAGTGCTTGTTCCTGTTATCAAGGATGACAGTACCAGTCCAAGGAGCAATCTGAGTAGCACTGGTCCAGGCAGCAGGATCTTTGAACAGAGGCGGTGGGGTAGGTGAGTACAGTCTAGCTGGAGGGTAGGGAGTGTGAGGGGAGTAGTTGGGGGCTGGGCTAGGGAGCACATTGGGGTGAAGCAGCCTGTGCGATATGCCCTTAGGAGTTTAGGTCAGACTAAGCAGCATTGCTGCCAGCTGTGCTTCTGTGACATTTTATCTCAGCAGTGGGGTAGAGGGTCAGGAGGGCTTGGTGTAGCGCTCCTGGTAATTTGCAGCTGTCAGTTCAGTTCAGGCCAGAAAATGTTTTCTGAGCACCCACGACTCACTGGACTCACTTGATTCGCTCGTCAGTCTAGCTGCAGGCTGAAGGGCCCTGGGAGAGAGAGGGAGTCAGCTCCCTGCCTTGGTATGTGCACTGTTGGCCTGGGAGACAGTGTGGTTGTAGGGCGGATTGCACAGGATCCTTTAGGTTCTCAGCTGTGGGAACCCAGGTGCAGTGAGTGCTGATTCTGATGGAAAAGGGCTGGGAAAGCAGCTTCCTGTACTGGGAGGCCTGGGAGCTGATGCCTGGAGGAAGAGAGAGGTTTCTGTTGGAGAGAAAAGCTCTAGCCGAGGCAAAAGCCTGGCCTGCCAGGTAGGCATTGCTGTGGGGAGGTCACTGGGGCCAGCAGGTGTGTGCAAAGGGTCGAGAGCAGGTCAGAGTGGACATGGAGGGAGCCCAGGGAGGTGCTTTGTGGGAAATGAGGTGCCCTGAGTCCCAGGTGGTGGGTGCAGGGGAGGTGGACCGCGAAGCACAGATCCAAGAGAATAAAATGTGTGCAGATAAAATTTCCAGACTGTGACTGGTTGGCCAGCCAACTGAGATTTCTAGTTGTGGGGAAGCGCTTTTTGATGTGTGTGTATGGGGAGACATGTAGGGGTTGAGGTGGCTGTGGGATTTTTCTCCATTTTTTTTACTAAGAGATAATTTCATACAGTAAATTCACCCTTTCTAGTGTGAGGTTGTGCAGTTTGACAAATGCTTATAGGCATCACTACAGTCAAGGTATAGAACATTCCCTAACTCCCCCCCCCCCATATTCCCCTGGGCTCCTTCATGGGTGCCTGTGGGACTTCAAGGGGTGATATGGTGTGTGCATAAACTGGGTGTGTACCAGAATTAATTGGTTCAGTGGTCGAGATGGCCTGTTTGGCCTGAGAACAGGGATGCACAGACTTGGGGAAGTTGTCTGCCCACGGAGAGGCTGAAGCAGCCCAGGGAACAGTGTAGATAAGCAGGGAGAATGGGGACCAGGTTTGGGGACTCTGCTGTGCAGTAGGTGGGAGAAGAGAAGCTGATGAAGGAGCCCCAGATGAGGGAGAGTGAATCATAGGAACCAAAGAGAGGGTTTTAGGGGAATGTGTGGGGCCAGCAGGAAATGCTGAGGAGGGTAGTGTTTAGTGTTGGCTCAGGTATATTGAGCCATCAGGGGGCTGTTGTGTTACAGAGGGCTTG